AGGATCCCATTTCAGAGATCCGAAAGCCTACTAACATTTGCCAAGACCTAATTGGGTTGATTTTGATCCAATTGATAAAGATCCAAGGGGCACAGACAAAGAAGGGAAGTGTGAGAAGGGAGGAAAAGTCGGAGAAGGAATAGAAAAGGCACATGAATGGGGGTTGCTGAGGAGGTTCGGTCACAGTGGTCGGGAAATAAACGGAATTCGGCCAGCGCCCAAGGTCGACATTTCAAAAGATAGGAGCACTGGTGGAGGGTTTAGGGTTTAAGGAGGTCTGATCTTTCACACCAAGGAACAGGGAGGAGGGCGATGAATGGAACAGGTCGGCATGGACAAAGGATGAACTCTTCCTAGGGGCAAAGATGCTATCTGGCAGATCTGGACATCAGGTCTGAGAGGGAAGAAAGGGGCAGGGCAAGCTGACAGTCAATCCTCCACTACGGTGGAGTAATCAATGCTGTTCAGGGGTCCTTCGGCCTGACGGAAGGAAGCGTGTGTGAGTTCGTATTGATGTAACATGTATTTTGACTTGCCGGTGGAATAGGAACCGGACTGATGCTCCCCAGAATAGAAGGAGCTAGGACCATAAGGCCCTGTTTTGTTTCAAAAAAAAAAAAAAAAAAAACACTCTCCCTGTCAGAATGAATGTTCCTTTTCCTTGGAAAGACAAATCGGCAACACGCAAACAACGGATCAGCACAAGAAACAGTCCGAGGGGATTCAAATTCAAAAATAACTTGGTCAATGGCCATTATATACAAAATTAGGGAGTGCAAGGCTCGTCATACAAAGCTCCCCAACTAGACCCCCGAAAACAGCTTCGAGAGCTGTCAGAGGGGACTCCATAAAACTGGTTCAGGAGTGGTCACAAATTAATGTTTTGGCCCGAGCCTGCACAACAAGCGAGACTCGAGAGACTTCTAATCGGCCTCCGATTTCCGCTCAAAATTTGAGAGGAGGTTGCAAGTGGACAAGTGCAGACATGGTCAACAGGGGGTGTTATTTTCGGCAAATTTTTCACTGAAGCTGTCATATTTGCTGGATTTTTTTTGTTTTTCTTTTTCTGATTTCTTTTTGGGTGATATTTATGTGCTTTCGGGTACGTCGTGGATTCAGTTTTTAGTACGTTTCAACTAATAGAGAAAAAGTGAACATTTCGTTGAGATCGTTGAATGTTTGTTTTGACCCCGAAAGTTTTTTGGCGCTAGGGTTCTATCCTGTTTTTGTGTTTTTTTGCTCCCTTTTTTTTCCCTGTTTGTTTTTCTGATGTTTGTAGTATACAACGGGCCAGTTGAGCTACCCTGGTCCTACCGGAGCCGGACCAGCCCAGGGGGGGTGAACCGGGGAAACCGGTTTTGAAAAAAAAGTGCCCAGATATCTTTTTTTTTTTCTTTTGGCAGATTCCGACTGCGCTCTTCAAGAGCTGTCAGAATCCGCAATAAAATTTTCAAGGTGCAATATTTTTCAGGGGGCTTCCAGAGGGGGGCAGGGGGTTATTATTCACATATTCAGGCAACTATGGCTTCCATGGGGAGGGGTCAAATAAGCAAGTTCACTTATCCAACCCCCCCGTCGCTAAAGCACTTCGTGGAGTGTGTCATTTGATGTTGATACCCCATGAGCTGAACCAGATATGATGAGAGGAGGTCCTTGCCAGAAGTTATAGCTCTTCCAGAGCATAACTCAACAGCC